TGGTAGTAAAACCGAATAAATGAGGGACTTCTACCTGTGTTATCCTGCAATTCTCACGAACACATTAGTCCCTCAACTAGGTTTGTCGTCAATACTCCAAAACCAACTAGGGGTGGCACTAGATGCACTTACACCACGAGGCTGGGGGGCGCGCCCCCCTACCTCATGGTCCCCCTATTTCCTCTCTGACTCCAACTCCACCTCCATATATTGAGTTTCAATGAGAGAAAAATCAGAGAGAAGAAATCATCGCGTTTTACGATACGGAGCCGCCCCAAGCCCTAAAACCTCTCGGGAGGGCTGATCTGGAGTTTGTTCGGGGCTCCGGAGAGGGGAATCCGTCGCCATCGTCATCATCAACCATCCTCCATCACCAATTTCATGATGCTCACCGCCGTGCGGGAGTAATTCCATCGTAGGCTTGCTGGACGGTGATGGGTTGGATGGGATCTATCATGTAATCGAGTTAGTTTTGTTAGGGTTTGATCCCTAGTGTCCACTATGTTCTGAGATTGATGTTGCTATGACTTTGCTATGCTTAATGCTTGTCACTAGGGCCCGAGTGCCATGATTTCAGATCTGAACCTTTTATGTTTTCATCAATATATGAGTGTTCTTGATCCTATCTTGCAAGTCTATAGTCACATATTATGTGTTATGATCCGTTAACCCCGAAGTGACAATAATCGGGATACTTACTGGTGATGACCGTAGTTTGAGGAGTTCATGTATTCACTATGTGTTAATGCTTTGTTCCGGTTCTCTATTAAAAGGAGGCCTTAATATCCCTTAGTTTCCATAAGGACCCCGCTGCCACTGGAGGGTAGGACAAAAGATGTCATACAAGTTCTTTTCCATAAGCATGTATGACTATGTTCGGAATACATGCCTACATTATATCAATAAACTGGAGCTAGTTCTGTGTCACCCTAGGTTATGACTGTTACCTGATGAACCGCATCCGGCATAATTCTCCATCACCGATCCATTGCCTACGAGCTTTCCATATATTGTTCTTCGCTTATTTACTTTCCCGTTGCTATTGCTATCATCACTACAAAATACCAAAAAAAAATTGCTTTTACTACTATTGCCTTTTGCTACCGCTATCACTACTATCATATTACTTTGCTACTAAACACGTTGCTGCAGATATTAAGTTTCCAGGTGTGGTTGAATTGACAACTCAGTTGCTAATACTAGAGAATATTCTTTGGCTCCCCTTGTGTCGAATCAATAATTTTGGCTTGAATACTCTACCCTCGAAAACTGTTGCGATCCCCCATACTTGTGGGTTATTAATTCAGTACTGGGGAAAACCTTATACACAGAATCTTAGCAGCAGCAAGGTTTAAAAACAAACGCTACTGCTAATTAGTAGTAGAAAGCTTCATAAGACCGTGCTACTAATAGCCCAGTAGCAGTAGCGCTCTAGGTGAAACGAGCGCTACTACTACAATTGCCATGGTGTTGCCTCCAGGCTAAATATAGTAGTGGCGCCCTTCTCCTGGACGCGCTACTGCTAAAGTACTTAGAGCAGCATTTTTCTTTAAAACTTGCTGTTGCTAAGTATCATCCCCTCTTGCAACTAATTAAATTTAGTCCCATACTGCTAAGCGAACAAGGTGTTTACCACCTTAAATATGTTACTTCTCATACTATCTCAAGCACTTGGTCTTCATTGAACTGCATGTGTAGGATTTTTGGCTGCAATATGAATCTTCACCCGTGCCTATACAGGTACGATGAGAATTCATGTTGACTATCTAGATTCTACATAATAAGATCAATGATGACCAATGTATATTTTTTTAGGACAAAGTGCTACTGATATTGGGCTTAGCAGTAGCACGCTCCCTGTACCCGTGTTACTGCTATAGCAAAACAAAACACATGGCCCGGCCCCCCGCATGCTCATCTCTCAATCGTCCCCCACTGCCCGACGTCGGCAGCTACGGTTAGGGTTTCGCCTCCGCCACCGCGGGCCACCGCCGCCGCAGGTAATGCTCCCCACCTCTCGCCGACCCTCTGCTAGCCGCTCCTCCACCCTCTCGCCGCCCACTCCGTCACCGCCCGTGAGCTCTGGCCGGGCGCCTTTGGCCGACTACCCTCGATCCCCTCGCCGGCCGCTGTCGTCGCCCCCTCTCGTAGGAAATTCACCGGCCTTCCCCTCATCAGCACCCCCAACCGAGGTCACCATGCCTTCCCCCCTCCTCGTTAGCACCCCCCGAGGGCTGCCCTACCTAGATGAAGTGAGGGCTGGCGAATTACATATGGATAACTAGATGCTTTTGTTTTTCTATAAGAAGTTATTTTTTTGCAAAATGTAGCTGACAATTTAGTTGAAATGCTTTGGTAGGTGGTACAAATATTTAGTTTGCAAGTGCTAAGTTAATCCCAATTAAATTTGCCACTTGTCCTTTTAATCAGTTATCTTAGGCAATAGGGGCCAAATTAGATGAAATGTGCCTTGGTAGGTGGTACCTTGATTTGGTAGATAACTTATTACAGATCTTAGGATTATAACTTTGGTAGGGGCCAAATAGTTTTTTCGGCAATAGGTGCCCCTGAAATGCTTTCGTAGGTGATACCTTGTCATCTTATAGGTTACTAGATGTTAGGATTATAATTGTCCATCAAATTGCTTCTCGCGGAAGAATCTGTTCATCTAGAGATATTCTAGAAGGTGTTAGTAATCTAATCGAGAACTTGTTGTCTATGAGTCTTGTTGGCTGATTTGACATTTGCCTACTAGCTATTGGTTCTGTTATAGAAGGTATTAGTAAGTTAATTGAGAGCTTGTTTTTTACCTTTTGGGATCGGGTTCCACTATGAAAATATAATTGCAGAAGAACCAAAAATATCACAAGCTATTGTTTTTCTTTCCTGGGAAGTGGATTGTTAATCCTTTCCTCATATTGCTTTAGGAAAATAGCGCCACCACCACCACCATGTCAACTGTGCAAGTCAAGGTGCGCCAACAGCCTTGCAACTGGCAAGTTGTTCGGCATCTACTTCCAGCCGAGTTTTCGTCATGCGGAGGTAAGAAATTATATGAAATTTAACAACTATTTTATTTTTAGTGTCAGCATTACTGCATTGTGTCATTTTGTTTTTTTACACAGATCGTCCCATGCCATGTGAGGTTGAAATTCAACAAGCTGACAGGAGACACTGTGACATTTGAGGCTCATGGGGCCGTACACTATAGAGGCTGAGAAAGGACGCAATATGTCGCAGATTGGAGGAGATGGATGGGCCCGTTTCCTCGCCCACATGCGTCTTACTGGTGGTGAGTTGATCAGCTTCTCCTTTAGAGCAGAAAGGCCCAAGCTGGCTGTCATTTATATCATCCTGGTGGAATATGATGAAGATGACGAAGATGATGAAGATAATGAGGACCCACTCGATGAAGATGATGAGGACCCACTTCATGAAGCCATCGTAGCTCAAAGAATGAGGTTGAGCGAGGAGGAGGTGTGCAACCTATGAGACATAATTCTGCCACGTGATGACTTTGTAGGGGTGCCATTGGTGACCCGCCTGACAAGTACCATGGTCGATCGGCATGATATGGTATGTTATACATACAAATGCAAATTACCGATGATATGCTTAGTGTAGAGTCGAATGATATGCTGTGTGGAATCTAGTCAATGATATGCTTTAGTGTAGAGTCCGATCACATGCTTATTAGTGTAGAATCCAAGGAACTATTAATAGTGTAGATAATCCATATATACTTATTAGTAGAGTTCATGCTTAGTACAAATGTGTAGTACTGTGTCTTTTGATAGTGTAGACGTCTATACTTAATAGAAATATATTTGAGAAAGTATGTGCGAGGATATTTATTAATTGATATGTTTTTCTTATTCAGAAATTGCCAAAGAGCCTATCTGTGAGTTGTGGTATCGACCCTGATGAAGAAGGCTCAGCTGGACTACGCCTTACCGCAAGGGGCTCCGTCATCACCTGTACTTACCGCATGGACACGGACAGTCGCACGCACTTAAACTCGGTTGGGTGGAAGAGATTCCTCGTTGGCAAGAATCTTCGTGTTGGACAGGCCATCCTAATTACTATCAGGAACACCCACTGCCCAGGCTTGCGGATGATGATCATCGTTGATATCGTCTAGAACTAAATATGTGTGTATGGCTATATCATCTAGAACTACATATGATGATCGTCATCGATATCATCTAGAACTACATATGATGATCGTCGTCGATATCACCTTGTACTGCTTGAGGATGCATGTTGACTATATATGAAATTGTTATCTAGTACTCCCTCCATTCCAAATTGCTCGTCGTGGTTTTAGTTCAAATTTAAAATAAAACCACCACGAGTAATTTGGAACGGAGGGAATACTACCCAATACCTATAATGCTTTATGAAATTGATATCTAGTAGTCGCTAGTATCTGGAAATTGCAGTTTTATTGAAACTGAAGCGGGGTAGAAAGCGAGGGAAAATGATGAAAGATATAGCAGCGCGGGGCTAGGAAAGCGCTACAACTAACTATTAGTAGCGCGTTCTGGAAAAGCGCTGCTGTTATAGTCAGTATTAGTAGCGCGGGTACAGACCGTGCTACTACTAACTGTTAGTTGTAGCGCCGTAGTAGTAGTGCGGCTGCCCGCGCTACTACTAGGGTTTTCCCTAGTAGTGATTATCTTTATATAACTTCTGCAAACTACTTTATATAACTTCAGCTAACTATTTCAGAAGTTCGTGGCAACGCACGGGCATTGTACTAGTAAGTATAATTTTTCTTTATTTTATTGTAACGCATGGGCGTTCAACTAGTAGTAGTACATGTCGAATATCTGAAACATATATTTGGGCATAAAATTGGCTGATCTGCAGTATCCTTGGCTCATCTACAACCTGTCATGGTTGGACCACACTAGGTAGCTCATGTTTAGATTACATTTGCAATTTTACATTGCTACAGAACACCTATAACCAGCCATTCTGATCTGAAACACCTGGCTTCAGAAATCATGAATAATCTTCTGCAAAGAAAAGTATGTCCCACTTGCAGCAACCAAGGAACCAAGAATGATAATAATGACCATGAGCGCAACCTCAGCCCTGCTGCAGCTTGCCGTACCAAAGATTTTGAGGTAGCAGATACATGGGAGCAGCATCGAAGCCATGACAATGAGGAGCGAGCCGACGAGCGCCATGAGGTCAGCGAAGAAGGGGATTGTGAGGGCTATGATGACTGTGCTGATGACAATGAAGGTTCTGACCAGTATGTGGACGAACCTCTGATTGCTAGCAAGCAGCTTCTCTTCGATCGCCGTGGCGACAGGAGTCACCATCAGAGCGTACTTTGAGAACGGGTTGATTAGCGCCGTGTAGATTGCTAGCTTGGAGCTGAGCTTGCCTTCCGGGAGGTTCAGGGTGAACTGAGATTCAACATCGTCGCCGTACATGAGGTAGCCGAGTATAGCCACGGATCCGAAGTTGAGGGTAGATACAACGAAGCATACAACTAGTACCTATCCATGGACACCGGGCAGACAAACAAGATCATGAGTCAGGGCCGTGGAGTATAGAAAAGTGTTAGGTGGTCACTGTCAAAAGTATTTTTTTTTCCAGTATCACATTTTTCTGGCTAAAGCACTTATCAGTGCGTATCAGACGAATTTCACATTAAAAGGCGACCATAAATATAAAAATTTAGGTATGTTCTTATTGGCAAACATTGAAATTATAGGGTACTCATTACCTTGGAGAACTTGTTCTTTTCGTGCATGGAATTGCACAATGTTGGGAATACGGGATGGCCGCCGTAGCAGAAAATGTAGAGACCCAGAGCAGTTGGCAGGCCGCTGAAGTTCAGCACGGTTCCTTTCCCCTGAAACCCGACGCCGTCGACCACCGCGGCCCAGAGTAGGCAGAACACCAGCACGACGGACGCGAGCACACCACTGGCTGACACGTAGGCGAGCACGCCGAGGTTCCTGAGCCATGTCGTGGGCAAGATCACAATGCCCGCGAGCACGACGAACAGGTGCTTGCCCGAGATCAGGAGCCCGGCCCCTAGGTTGAGGCTTGTGCCCGGGAACAGCTTGTCCAGGTTGTCCCCCTCCAATATCAAAAACCCGATGGCAACGAGGTAGAGCTCGACGTACATGATCGCCGACACGGCGAACCGTCCTTTGGCACCAAACGCAAGCGCGCCGATCTCCGGGTAGCCGAGCACGTCCGAAGATGCGCCCATGCACTTCTGCAGTAGCTGGCCGGTGTAGCAGCAGACCATGGAAACGAAGAGAAGAAGCAGCAGGCTCGACCACCCTCCCTCCGCCAGCGCGTAAGGGATGGACAGAAGGCCGACACCTGAAAACAAAATCAATCAATCAATTTTTTTTACGCAAACCAAATCAAAGAAGTTGCCCGGTACGACACTGTAAAAAAAAAAAACCAGTATCCGACTAATGTCAGTTTATTGGGCATGGCAAACCGAACATTTTTCATGGTAAACTCTGTTCAAGTATAATCCGTCTCGGTTCTTTTTTTGCCAGGAAATTGCCATGCTTACAAAACTAAAATCATCATCCTTACGTCCATATAAATTGCCATGAAAATCATTGGGTTGGCCATGTCAAAAAGACTAACTATTTTTGGCCTTGAGAAAAAAAACCTGAATCAAATGGGAAAAACAGACTCACCGGAGAGGGCGTTGAGGCCATTGAAGCAGGTTCGCAGGAACGTAGTCCCGCCGGCCTCCGGCGAGGACTGTGCTTCGTGGTCGCGCGCCGGCGCTCCACCAATGACCATCTTATCTTACCCCTAGGCGATGACTCCGTGCGATGGATGGAACAGAGATGGGCATATATAGCGCACAAGGTTGTGTGGCATCAGTATACCTGTTACGTTGGCTTTTTCTGCTTGGCCTTAGTAGTTGGTGCGTGAAGCGTTGTCACCGCGTATACTGCGGCTGCCACGTCGACGTCGGCGTTGCTCACTTTTAACCATGGTTTTGGGTACCGAGCGGAATATTCGGATAGCGCCTGGTAACCGCGTTTCTCGCCACCCCACGAGAAACCTTTGTACCGAGCGAATATTTTTGAATTTTTTCGAAATTTTTGAATTTAAACACCGATAGTTAAGTTAGATAGGCTAGAAACTCACAAAGCATAGGCAGGTAGGTCTGGCGTACTGGTTAGCTGGGCCGCCTAATTAAGTTACCTGTGGTTGCGGGTTAGAGTCACAAAGCTGTTCATTTTATTTTTTAAAAAAATTAGGAAAAAAGGAAGATGCTGTGAAGGTGATTAGATCTAGCAACCTCAAGACAGGGGGAAATACGCACAACACCTAGCCACTTCGCCACACGACGGTTGATGATAAAATGGAGTCCAGGCCTAATCTATCGTATATTTAAGAAAACTGAATTCAAAATTCAAATTTGAACTTCGTCCGAAATTTTTCCAAGATTTCACGGATACCGCGGTAACCGAGAATTTCGGTGCCCCGGGAGAAAAAAACATACACTTGGGATCCAAATCCTTGCTTTTAACCGCTGGGATCGTCATCATTTTGCGGTCGGGCCCTTGAAAACATGTAGACGTTCACCCAATGTCGTCACCCTTCATATTCCTTTGTGCTCATCGATCAGATGCTACGCTAGGCGTACTCTCGCAAAAAAATATTCCACGGAAAGTTGAGTGCATTGCCATCGGCAGCGATGGGTGATCGGTGCACCCCAGTACATAGGATGAAATTTGGGTGCCATGCTGGAACCGCAAATTTCAGCAATTTCACTCGCTAGGTACACAACTACACTATTAGGGAAAACCTTAATAGTAATGCGGGTTTTAAGGCTATCAGCAGTATGGGCAGCCGCGCTATCAATAAGGCGCTACAGCTAACTGTTATTTGTAGCGCGGTTTGCACCTGAGCTATTATTATTGACTATATCAGCAACGTTTTTCCAGAACACGCTACTATTAGTTAGTTGTAGCGGTTTCCTAGCCCCGCGCTACAGCTATGTGTTTCATCATTTTCCCCCGCTTCTTACCCAATTTCAGTTTCAATAAACTGCAATTTCCAGATACTAGGTACTACTAGATATCAATTTCATAAAGCATTATAGGTACTAGGTAGTACTATCTCCGTTCCAAATTACTCGATAACGATCATCATATGCATCCTCAAGTAGTACAAGGTGATATCGATGATGATCATCATATATAGTTCTAGATGATATCGACGACGACAATCATATGTAGTTCTACATGATATCAACGACGATCATCATATGCAGTTCTAGATGATATAGCCACACACACATATATAGTTCTAGATGATATCGACGACGATCATCATCCTGAAGCCTGGGCGGTGGGTGTTCCTGATAGTAATTAGGATGGCTTGTCCAACACGAAGATTCTTGCCAACGAGGAATCTCTTCCACCCAACCGAGTTTAAGTGTGTGCGACCGTCTGTGTCCATGCGGCAAGTACAGGTGGTGATGGAGCCCCTTGCGGTAAGGCGTAGTCCAGCTGAGCCTTCTTCATCAAGCTCGATACCGCAACTCACAGATAGGTTCTTTAGCAATTTCTGAATAAGAAAAACATATCAATTAATAAATAGCCTTGCACATACTATTGCAAATATATTTCTATTAAGTATACATTTCTACACTATAAAAAGACACAGTACTACGCATTTGTACTAATTAAGCATGAATTCTACTAATAAGTATACATGGATTATCTACACTATTAATAGTTCCTTGGATTCTACACTAATAAGCATGTGATCAGACTCTACACTAAAGCATATCATCGACTAGATTCCACAAAGCATATCATTGGACTCTACACTAAGCATATCATCGAATTCACTAAGCATATCATCGGATAATTTGCATTTGTAAGTATAACAATAAAGCATATACATATCATCAAATTATTACACTCAGTATAACATACCATTTCATGCCGATCGACCATCGTACTTGTCAGGCGGGTCACGAATGGCACCCCGACAAAGTCATCATATGGCGGAATTATGTCCCATAGGTTGAACATCTCCTCCTCGCTCAGTCTCATTCTTTCAGCTACTATGGCTTCATGAAGTGGGTTCTCATCATCTTCCTCGAGTGGGTCCTCATTATATTCATCATCTTCGTCATCTTCATCAGCTTCCACCAGGTTGAGATAAATGACAACCAGTTTGGGTCTATCTGCTCTGAAGGAGAAACTGATCAACTCACCACCATTAGGACACATGCGGGCGAGGAAACAGGTCCATCCATCTCCTCCAATCTGTGACATATTACGTCCTTTCTCGACCTCCATAGTGTACGCCCCCCAGGAGCTTCAAATGTCACAGTGTCTCCTGTCAGATTGTTGAATTTCAACCTCACATTGCATGGGACAATCTGCGTAAAAAAACAAAATGGCACAATGCAGTAATGCCAACACTAAAAATAAAATAGTTGTTACATTTCATAGAATTTCTTACTGCCGCGTGATGAAAACTCGGCTAGAAGTAGATGCCGAACAGCTTGCCAGTTGCAAGGCTGTTGGCGCACCTTGATTTGCACAGTCGACATGGTGGTGGTGGTGGCGCCATTTTCCTAAAGCAATATGAGCAAAGGATTAACGATCCACTTCACAGGAAAGAAAAACCGTAGTATGTGATATTTTTGGTTCTTCTTCAGTAATATTTTCATAGTGGAACCCGATCCCAAAAAGTAAACAACAAGTTGTCAATTAACTTACTAACACCTTCTATAATAGAACCAACAACTAGCAGGCCAATGCCAAATTAGCCAACAAGACTCACAGACAACAAGTTCTCAATTAGCTTACTAACACCTTCTAGAATATCTCTAGATGAAGAGATTCTTCCGCGAAAAGCAATTCCAGGGGCACCTATTGCCAAAAAAACTATTTGTCCTCTACCAAAGGTATAATCCTAAGATCTGTAATAAGTTATCTACAAAATCAAGGTACCACCTATCAAGACACATTTCATCTACTTTGGCCCCTATTTGCCTAAGATAACTGATTAAAAAAACAAGTAGAAAATTTAATTGGAATTAACTTAGCACTTGCAAACTAAATACGTGTACCACCTACCAAAGCATTTCAACTAAATTGGCACCTACATTTTGGAAAAAATAACTTATTATAGAAAAACAAAAGCATCTAGTTATCCACATGAAATTCGTAAGCCCTCGCTGCATCTAGGTAGGGCAACCCTCAGGGGGTGCTGAAGAGGAGGGGGGATGGCATGGTGACCTCGGTCGGGGGTGCTGACGAGGGGAAGGTCGGTGACTTTCCTATGAGAGGGGGCGAAGACAGCGGCCGACAAGGGGATCGAGGACAGTCGGCCAAAGGCGCCCGGCCAGATCTCGCGGGCGGCGATAGAGTGGGCGGCGAGAGGGTGGAGGAGCAGCTAGCAGAGGGGCGGCGAGAGGGGGGAAGAGCATTACCTGCGGCGGTGGTGGTGTTGGCGCGCGGTGGCGGAGGAGAAACCCTAACCGCAGCTGCCGGCGTCGGGCGGAGGGGGACGATTAAGAGATGAGCGTGCGGGAGCCGGGCCGCATGTTTTGTTTTGCTGTAGCAGAAGCGTGGGTACAGGGAGCTCGCTACTGCTAAGCCCAATATCAGTAGCGCTTTGTCCTAAAAAACGCTACTGCTAAGGCTACATGTAAAAACATCAAAAATATACATTGGTCATCATTGACCTTTTTGTGTAGAATCTAAATAGTCAATATGAATCCTTACCGTACCTGTATAGGTATAGGTGAAGATTCATATTGCAGCCACGAATCCTACACAGACAGTTCAATGAAGACCAAGTGCTTGAGATAGTTTGAGAAGCAACATATTTAAGGTGGTAAACACCTTGTTCGCTTAGCAGTATGAGACTAAAATTAATTAGTTGCAAGAGGGGATGATACTTAGCAGCTGCGAGGTTTAAAGAAAAACGCTGCTACTAAGTACTTTAGCAGTAGCGCGTCCAGGAGAAGGGAGCTACTATTATATCTAGCCTGAAGGCAACACCGTGGCAATTGTAGTAGTAGCGCTCGCTTCATCTAGAGCACTACTGCAACTAGGCTATTAGTAGCGCAGTCTTCTGAAGCTCGCTACTGCTAATTACCAGTAGCGTTTGTTTTTAAACCTCGCTGCTGCTAAGATTCTGTGTATACGGTTTTCCCAAGTGGTGCTAGGTGAAAATGTGATACTTCTTTTTGGATTAAGCTATGGCTTAGGGTTTCCCTCTATCTTGTAATTCGATTTCCTG